TTCGGGAGGCATATCATTTCAGGTGGGAGATGAACATGAACAAAGTAGTGGGCTAAGCTCTGTCCTGCTGTGTGGCCTGAGAAGGGCCATCTTTCTTTAGCAAAGGAGGAGGGCATGTGGATAAAGACAAGACAGAAATAAACTTGGAGCAGTAGACTGAGCCAGATTACAGAGACCCTGAGGGGAAGGGACTGTTGGGATTTGGTGGATGGAAGTATTCAGAACATGAAGTCTGAATGTGCAGAAAATGAAAATCCTCACAACTGGACCCATAAACAACATCATGTAAACAGAGAAGAACTTGAAGCTGTCAAGGGTTTCATTCTACACCCATGGAAGCAGCGGTCAAGAAATCAAACGACGTATTGCATTAGGAAAATCTGCCGTAAAAGACACTCTTTAAAGTGTTAAAAAGCAAAGCTGTCACTTTGAGGACAAGGGTGTGCGTGATGCAAGCCATGGTGTTTTCAGTCACCTCATATGCGTGTGAAAGCAGGACGGTGAATAAGGAGACTGAAGAAGAATTGATGCTTTGAATTATGGTGTGTCAAAGATTACGGAATACGTTTTTGACTGCGAAAAGAAAGAACAAATCAGTCTTAGAAGAGATGTGTCCAGAATGATCCTTAGACGTGAGGATGGGAGACTTCGGCTCACTTACTTTGGACACATCATCAGGAAGACCAGTTGTTAGAAGAGGACACCATGTTTGGTAACGTAGAGGGCCAACGAAAATGAGGGGAACCCTCGCTGAGCTAGGTTGACGTGATAGCCACAACAATGGGCCCAGACATACCAAGGACCGTGAAGACAGCGCAGGACCGGCCAGTGTTTCCTTCTGTTGTCAGGTCGCCATGAGTCGGAGCTGGCTCGACGGCAGCTGCCAACAGCAGGAAGTCAGGAGCCTTGGCACACTCGTGAACGAGGGGCAAGATGACCTGATGGTGGAGGTGGCGTTTGGGACTTGGTTTCCATGATGAATTGGAGACTGTGTAGAGGGAACTTAGGCAGGGAGAACCCATCAAGGTGACGTAGTATAATATAAACCAAATAATATGTGATTCTGCTCCAATATACAATAGTTGTGTTCCTAAGAAACAGGCCGTGATCAGAAGTCGCATTTTATGGAGAGAATTATGCCAGCAGGTTGTAGATCATTTCAGACTTGGACTAACCAAGTTCTCCTCCCGCCCCCAGCCCTTCAGGAATTTCAGAAATAATAACTTTATTTATTTATTTTTTAAGTATATCACAATAAAACCTGAAAATCACTGAACATATTTAGAACTGGATTGTACTGTACTCCATCAGGTGTGATCTTGAGCTACTTTCTCTTTCTCAAGTTTGCTTACGTGTAAACTTGGAATAAGAGTACCTGTTTTATGGAGTTCTTGTGAAGATGAAATGAAAACTTGTGAATTGTAAGGGAGATTATCTCATCTCTGTAAGGGAGATAATAGATGTCAGTTGCAGTCATCATTGTCATTTCTATTATTAGTATTTATTATTTTTGGGAATAGTAGTTTTTCTTAAAATTGCAACATTGTCACAGCACATTTTATCTGACATATTCGTATCACCTGTTTTACGATAAAGCAAGGAGCCAAGAGAAGGAAGCACTTGAGTGTGTGGCTCATGTGAAGTGATGAGGCCTCGAGAGAGGGCGGGATTGAAGGTGGACTTCACAGGGTGACAGGAGCACCTTGGGGGAGAGTGTCCCCCAGCGTGTATCAGAGGCGGGAGAGTGCAGGAACTTGGAGGCGTACAGACCCAAGTTTAAATCTTGCCGTTAGCTAGTGGTGATCTCACATCTTAGCCTGTTTCTTCTTCTGTAAAATGAGGTTGCTAGAAGTCTAGCCTTCAAAAGAGAGCATTAATCACTCTTAAAAGTATTGACCTGCCGATTGACTTAACGTAGTTAATAAGGAAAATGTTCTACATCCGACTTTGGTGAGTAGCGTCTGAGTTATTAAAAGCTGTGAGTGGCCATCTAAGGTACATCTGATGGTCCCATCCCATCCGGAGCAAAGGAGAATGGAGAAGACCAAATACACATGGGAAATGCTAGTCCAAAGGACTAATAATGGACCACAAGTACCGCAGCCTCCACTAGCCTCAGCCCAGAAGAACTAGATGGTGCCTGGCTACGACCAACCACTCTGGCAGGGATCTCAGTAGAGGGTCCCAGACAGAGTGGGAGAAAAATGTAGAACAAAATTCAAATTCACAAAAAAGACCAGACTTAATTGATCTGACAGAGACTGGAGGAACCCTGAGGCTATGGCCCCCAGACATCCTTTTAGCTCAGAAGTGAAGTCCCTCTGGAAGTTTCACCTTCAGCCAAAGATCACACAGGTCTATGAAACAAACAGTAACACACGTGAGGAGTGGGCTTCTTAGCTCAATCACGTAAATGAGAGCAAACGGAAAGGAAAAAAAAAAGTAAAGTATTGACCTCCTTGTTAGGTTGAAGCTCTAAAAAACAATTATTATAGCTCTTACAAAAGTGAAGAAAGATTATTCTTCCAACCTTCTTCCCCTGCCAGAAAGCCTTGAATTAATAGTCATATAGTGCCTGGGATAGTGTTAGGATCGTAAAAATGTTAGCTGCTATCATTATCAGATTAGCTGTATTGACTTACATTTTCCCACTATTTGCAACATGTTGTCCGAATTCCCGGAAAAGTATACATCCCCCTTTAGAGGAGTTACGGTTCTTAGAAATAGCTTCCGTTTTTCTACTTAGTGGTGGACCCATCTTTCCAGGAGAGTATAGTAAAGATTTCTGTGCAATCTGTGGACTTGTGATTCAGCTGGTATTTATAATCTAGAAATTACAAGGCGATTAACGGATTGCTTAGAGTAGGGGGAGGGTAATCCGTGGCTAACAGCAGAGACCTGCTGAATGGGATTTTTTAACAGATCCCGTGGCGAGGTGGGCCTCTTGTTTCCTCCCTCCTTCAGAGTGTCAGCAGAGCTTGTAGTTTTGTTACTCATGTGTTATTTTGTAACAATCACACACACGCGTCAATTATTTTAAAACAGGCGCTGTGTGCTTGGTGTCATGTTTCCACCTTTGAAAACCTGTAATTCAGAGAGAATTGTGAAGTCCAGAGTGTTGTCCCCCTTTATTATCTTAAAGGTCAGGGTGCTGGGGAGCCTGTGACAGAGAGTACAGGTGGTTTACATGTTTGCTGGTAATTTTGTAGCCAAGATTTTAGATGGTTAGATAGAATTATCTAGCAGTTGAAAAGACACTAGTTTGGCTGCCAGGAGACCTATTTAGACCTCCCGGGACTGCCTTGGTTTCCCTTCCTGTGGCTGTAGTATGTTTCACGTCTCCCCTGACGCACTGCACTGTCCTTGCTCGTGTCTGTTTCCCCACTGTGTGTGCATTACTGGAGGGTGCAGACTCTGCCCTCTTTTCTGTCCCTGTCCCCATCCTAGACACTGAGCACAGAGCTTGTCTCAGAACTGCTATGCGTATCTATTTTTCACATAGTACTTTTTGCCTCTAATTTGTTGTGTGACTTTGGACAAATCACTTGACCTTCAGACATCTTTTTTTATTTATTAAAGGATAATTTTAGACGAGGTGATCTCTAATTCTCTTCCAGTGATATTCTTGTTCCCACTGTTTTATTTTTGACTCTGAATGAGCCTGTTGTATTCTCTCTGTGGGCATGATCTCCAGTTGAATATTGCCTTGTGTAACTTGCAAGAGGCCCTCAAGGTAAAGGCAGGAGAGGAAAGCACTGTCTTGAGATTTCTAATTGGCAGAAATTGTTTCAAATGTTTGTGTTTTTTTCTTTTAAAGAATTCTTCCTAAGTAAACATTGCCTTGAAAAATTACTTGAGGAAGAGTGTACTCATTCGTTGCAAAGTCAGTGTTATGTTTTGTTCATTGACTTTTGTTTGTCTTCAGTTACAGGTTTATGATCATGGATCGCTTTGGGAGCGACCTTCAGAAAATACATGAAGCAAACGCCAAAAAGTTTTCTCGGAAAACTGTCTTGCAGCTAAGCTTAAGAATTGTATGTGCGCTATGTTGTTCTTGTTTTTAAAAAAATGTTTTTAATACAGTAAAGGCTATTTTGTTTTAAGCTTGGTCCTCTGCTGGCTGGTGTTAGGTACTGCATTAATTTATTCTGTATGATGGTTTCGTAGCTGGATATTCTGGAATATATACACGAACATGAATATGTACATGGAGATATCAAGGCCTCAAATCTTCTTCTGAGCTGCAAGAATCCTGACCAGGTAGTTTTATAACTTTAATTTCTACTATTTAAAACCTGTTGTTGGAAAACAAATATGGTTGCTTTGAACTTTCGAACCCATGCAGAAGTTTTACTTTTTGAAGTAGATACGGTAATAATAATATTTCTTCTTGACACTTTTATCTAGTTAACATTCTACATTTTTGATGCGATTTGTTGGCAGTTTATCAAGTTGGCTGTGTTGCTCTAAATAATATTCAGAGAAGTGCTTGTGATACAAAATGAATTTCAAATAGCTGTTTGGGGGTGGAAGCTTAAAATTACATAGTGCACCAATGAATTATGTTTGCCTGTCTGCTTTGTCACTTTTTTTATTTCCTTTGTTCAAGAAATCCATCAAATGTAAGTGTTCTGTTACTTGGAAAATTTGGTCTTTAACATGTTGATTATTCAAATCAATTGGTTGACAGAAATAGCTGTCTAAATTTGTGTACCCTTAGTGTCCTGGCCACCACTCGTCTGTCAGTTTGTTGTACTGTGGTGGCTTGTGTGTGGCTGTGATGCTGGAAGCTATCACACTGGTATTTCAAATACCAGCAGGGTCACCTACAGCGGACAGGTTTCAGTGGAGCTTCCAGACTAAGACAGACTAGGAAGAAGGACCTGACAGTCAACTCCTGAGAAAGACTGGCCAGTGAAAACCTTATGAATAGCAGCGGAACATTGCCTGATACAGTGCCCCTCAGGTTGGAAGGTGCTCACAATATGACTCCTCAAAATAGAGTTGACTTTAATGACATGGATGGAGTCAAGCTTTCGAGACCTTCATTTGCTGATGTGGCATGACTCAAGATGAGAAGACACAGCTGCAAACATCCGTTAATAATCGGAACGTGGAATGTACGAAGTATGAACCTACAAAAATTGTAAGTTGTCAAAAATAGATGGGATGTATAAAGATTGGTATCCTGGGCATTAGTGAGCTTAAATGGACTGGTTTTGGCCATTTTGAATCAGATAATCATACAGTCTACTACACTGGGAATGACAGCTGGAAGAGCAATGGCGTTGCATTAATCGTCAAAAAGAACATTTCAAGATCTATCCTGAAGTACAGCGGTGTCAGTGATAGGATAATATCCATACGTCTGCAAGGAAGACCTGTTAGTATGACTGTTATTCAGATTTACATGCCAACCACTAAGGCCAAAGATGAAGAAATTGAAGACTTTTACCAGCTTCTGCAGTCTGAAATTGATCGAACATGTAACTAAGATGCGTTGATAATTACTGGTGATTGGAATGCGGAAGTCGGAAAAAGAAAGAGAAGCATCAGTAGTTGGAAAATATGGCCTTGGTGGTAGAAATGATGCTGGAGATCACATGATAGAATTTTGCAAGCCCAGCAACTTATTCGTTACAAATACCTTTTTTCACCAACATAAACGGCAACTGTACATGTGGATGTCGCTGAATGGAATATACAGGAATCAAATCAACTACATCTGTGGAAAGAGACAATGGAGAAGCTCAATATCATCAGTCAGAACAAGTCCAGGGGCCACCTGTGGAACAGACCATCAATTGCTCATATGCAAGTTCAAGTTGAAACTGAAGAAAATTAAAACGAGTCCACGAGAGCCAAAGCATGACCTTGAGTATATCCCACCTGAACGTAGAGACCATCTCAAGAATAGATTTGATGCATTGAATGCTAATGACCGAAAACTAGACAAGTTGTGGGATGAAATCAAGGACATCATACATGAAGAAAGCAAAAGGTCATTAAAAAGACAGGAAAGAAAGAAAGAGACCAATATGGACATCAGAAGATACTCTGAAACATGCTCTTGAACATAGAGTAGCTAAAGCAAATGCAAGAAATATTAAAGTAAAAGAGCTGAACAGAAGATTTCAAAAGGTGGCTGGAGAAGACAAAGTATTATAATTAAATGTACAAAGACTTGGAGTTAGAAAACCAAAAGGGACGAACACACTTGGCATTTCTCAAGCTGAAAAAACTGAAGAAAAAATTCAAGTCTCCAGTTGCAATATTGACGGATTCTACAGGGAAAATATTAAGCAATGCAGGAAGCATCAAAAGAAGATGAAAAGAATACACAGAGTCCCTGTACCAAAAAGAACTGATTGACGTTCAGATGGTACTGAAGGAAGAAGTCCAAGCTGCGCTGAAGGCATTGGCGAAAAACAAGGCTGCAGGAATTGACGGAATACCAGTTGAGATGTTTCAGCAAATGAATGCAGCTCTGGAGGTGCGCACTTTCTTTGCCAAGAAATTTGAATGACAGCTACCTGGCCAACAGACTGGATGAGTTCCATATTTGTACCCATACCAAAGAAAGGTGATCCAACAGAATGCGGGAATTATCAAACAGTATCATTAATACCACACGCAAGTAAAATTTTGCTGAAGATCATTCAAAAGTAGTTGTAGCAGTACATTGACAGGGAGCTGCCAGAAATTCAAGCCAGATTCAGAAGAGGATGTGGAACAAGGGATATTGCTGATGTCTGATGAATCTTGGCTGAAAGCAGAGAATACCAGGAAGATGTTTACCTGTGTTTTATTGACTATACAAAGGCATTGGACTGTAATTATGGATAACACTGCAAAGAATAGGAATTCCAGAACACTTTAATTTTGTTCCTGAGGAACCTGTACATAGATCAAGAGGCAGTCGTTCAGATGGAACAAGGGGATACTACGTGGTTTAAAGTCAAGAAAGGTGTGCGTCAGGGTTTTATCCATTTAATGTGTGCAGGGGTTAAGCAGTTGGCTGCTAACCAAAGAGTTAGCAGTTTGAATCCACCAGCTACTCCTTGGAAACCCTATGGGGCAGTTCTACTCTGTTCTGTAGGGTCACTATGAGTCAGCATCGACTTGACGGCAGCAGGTTTTTTTTTTTTTTAATTAAATCTATGTGCTGAGCAAATAATTCGAGAAGCTGGACTATATGAAGAAGAACGGGGCACCAGGATTGAAGGAAGACTCATTAACAATCTATGTTATGCAGATGACACAACCTTGCTTGCTGAAAGTAAAGAGGACTTGAAGCACTTACATGAAGATCAAAGACCACAGCCTTCAGTATGGATTGCACCTCAACATAAAGAAAACAAAAATCCTCACAACTGGACCAATAAGCAACATCATGATAAATGGAGAAAGGATTGAAGTTGTTAAGGATTTCGTTTTACTTGGATCCACAATCAACACCCATGGAAGCAGCAGTCAAGAAATCAAATTACATATTGCATTGGGCAAATCTGCTGCAAAAGACACTCTTTAAAATGTTAAAAAGCAAAGATGTCACTTTGAGGACTAAGGTATGCCTGATCCAAGCTATGGTATTTTCATTCGCCTCATATACGTGCAAAAAGTGGACAATGAATAAGGAAGACCAAAGAAAAATTGATGCCTTTCAATTATGGTGTTGATTAAGAATATTAAATATGCCATAGACTGCCAGAAGAACCAACAAAGCTAGAATTCTCCTTAGAAGGGAGGATGGTGAAGCTTCATCTTATGTACTTTGGACATGTTATTAGGAAGGACCAGTCCCAGAAGAAGGACATCCTGCTTGATAAAGTAGAAGGTCAACAAAAAAGAAGACCCTCAACGAGAAGGATTGACACAGCGGCTGTAGCTACAGGCTGATACATAGCAGTGACTGTGAGGACGGCACAGGTCCGGGCGGTGATCCATTCTGTTGTACACAGTATCACTAGGAGTCAGAGCCGCCTGGACAGCACCTAAAAACACAAGTGTTTGGAATTTAAATGTGCAATTTTTAGTTTATTACGTTCTTTTTCTACTTTTTACTTTCCCAGGAAAGAAGGAAAGTTAATGTTATTGTACCTTTATTCGGTTCACTTTGGTTGAAGTTGAGCGATCCATACAATTTCCTGTCTCTGTTTTCATGATTTTGGTAGATGTAAGGTTTAGTTGACACTCATCGTTGGGCCACTGTACTTAATTTCTTTATGTATTTTCTCACTTCTTATTTGATTGTGTGTAAGAAAGGAACATTTAAATGTTTTAAATGTGTTGTGTTCCGCGATGATTGTATAATTATTTGCTAAACTCTATGTTTTATTCTTTCTTTCAAACCCATGTTTATCTCCCCCTTGCTTAGATTGTCCTTGAACTCCCCTCCCTTTATTATTATCTCGTATGTTTACTTCCTGCCCCTTCCCCCTCATCTCGTGCAGTGAGTTGTGGTGGAGGTAAGGGGTCTATGTGAGTGTAACAGGAGAATGGTGCTGTGCAATCCAGAATTCCACTCAGCTCTTTCTGGCTCTCTTCTTTTAGGTGTTTTTAGGTTTAACACACACACACACATACACAACCACACACACACACACACAACCGCAAAGCCAGCTAAGAATCTGAATGATAAGGATCCCATTAATTGAAGTAGACTGGAAATGTGCAATATCATATATAAAAATACGGCTTATTTCTATTTGCAGTTAACTAGATGATGCTGCCTTTTGTTTATTTGAAAATATTTTGCAGCTGTGTTGTCCTCGGGCATATGCTTTGGATTGGGTTCTTGTTCCAGTATTAGATGTTGGTGCTTGATACATTTCCATATTTACTTCAGTGTCCTCTTGTGACCGAAAGCCTACACTGAGGGACAGTTACCCAGAACTAGAGAGCTAGTGTGTCGCTGTGGGATAGAGAAATGCTGACTGGGTTAGCGCTGTATGCTAATCAGACCCACATGTACATGCCCACAAATGAGTGCGTGTAGAATATTAAAATTCAGTTTGAATTAAGAAGACTTTAACATACAGTATTGAAATGCAGACAAGAGACTGGTCTAAAAGTTCTTCAGATCACTGTTATAATGTATGAAATACTTTTATGAATTAAGTTGGTACTGGCTCATTTTATAAGTGGTGAGGCAGAGGAATAGAAGGTGACTGACGTACCACCCGTCGTCTGAGTCGGCGGCTTCCTACCCAGGGTGCTTTTCTATGTGAAAAGTGGCCGTTGGTATCAGGCAACAAGGACTGAGGTTCACTCTGCGCTCAGTTTTGTTTTAGACTGTTAAGAAAAAGTATAAGATTTATAATCCTTGCTCAAGTTGAGGAGACAAGATTAATTATAACACGTAATTGTTGAAAAAAAGTGCATAAACTTAAGAAATGTGATCCAGACTGTAGCTGCATGGTTATTTAACATTTTTCTTTTGAAAAAAAGCCTTTCAGAATTACAAAATATTTGCTATTGTTTTTATTTTGGATCTGACTTGTTTTATGTGCTATGGTATATATAGCCTTATAGGTTAATCTCCCTACAAAGTTTCTGTGCTTTAAACGTTGTATGTGCTATCATTTGGGCTTTTATTTGTCTGTGGTGCTTGGAACTTTATAGGTGTACTTGGTGGATTACGGCCTTGCTTATCGATACTGTCCAGAAGGAGTTCATAAAGAATACAAAGAAGACCCCAAAAGATGTCACGACGGCACTATTGAATTCACCAGCATCGATGCACACCATGGCGTGGGTAAGTAAGCGACAGTTGAACAAGAAATAACTCCGCTAACAGTTTCAAACCTGAGTTCCTGTGTGGTGCTTAATTCTGCATCCATTACTTAATTGATTAATTTTGAAGAGGCGAGGTAGGATGGGGAAGGAAGGGAGGAGTTAGACTTGTAAAATTATGCATCAAGCCTCCTTGAATTCTTCTTTCCTGCCTTTCTGCCACTCTTCAAAGGTAACCAGGAAGTTTTAGCAGCAAAGATTTGTCAACTGCCATGAGAATTTTTTTTTTGTTGTTTTATTCAATTTAATATGAATGTAGTATTTTTTCCCCCTAATGTCTGTAAGTTGCTTATGCAGCTACAGCTTTATAACAGGTAGACTTTTATCTTATCCCCTGTTAAATTAGCCCGTTGCCTCAGCAGTCCTTCTCTCTTCTGTGCCCAACTCTACGGAAGGTCTAGAAGACCCCACTTTCTGGGCCTTTTAGTAACAGCGTATAGCAATTTTAGTATCTTCACATTTTCCAAGGGCAATATTAAATGTATTGTTGTTTTATAATTTGTTTCCTAGACTATTAGTCTCCGTTTGAAACCCTAACATCTACCAATTTGAGTTTTAGTGTGAATTATTAGTTGGAGGTTAGTTAGCTCTTTTATACTGCCCAGTGTTCACTGCTTTTATTAAACGCAGTCAAAACTTCATGATGAAAAACAGGCTCTAGAGTTGACTTTTTTTGCCTTGTTGCTTTATGTGTCCTTGACATTACACCTTAGAGGTGGTCTCCATGTGCCTAATGTGCTTCTCCTGTACTTGCAGCCCCGTCGCGGCGTGGCGACCTGGAGATACTTGGCTACTGCATGGTCCAGTGGCTCAGTGGTCATCTTCCCTGGGAGAATAATTTGAAAGATCCTAACTACGTTAGAGATTCCAAAATTAGGTAAGGAGAACTTTTAATAAGTTATTTTGGGCCAAGTCCTGAGAAGGGAGGTGATGTTTACTAGGATTTCTTGACCGGAACTATAGTTGTAACCGATGCAGACGTCGAAATAAGGAAGGTGCTCGGCAAACAGCAAGGTTCTTTGGTCCTTTGTTCCATTTATTTCAGAAGAAGGTCTGTGAGCATGTCGGGATGTAGCGCAAGGCTGCTTACTGGGCGCTTACCGTTACTGATTGTTGATAACGTTCTCTGGCATCAAGCTTCCAACAGTGACTCATTTCTTTAATTTATAACAGATACAGAGAAAATATTCCAAGTTTGATGGACAGATGTTTTCCTGAGAAAAACAAGCCAGGTAGGAAAAGACTTCTTAAATGTTTATAGAGGTTTTGTTTTCTGTGGGGAAAAAGTCCTGCTGTCCAGGGACCGCTGTCTCTTAATGTGAGAGCTTAGATATTTTTTAGGTGTGATCATTGTACTAGGGTCTGCACACATCACAAAAACACTTTCCTTTCCCAAGATGGGCTGAATTCACGCTTGCACCTCATTCAGTTACTATTCAGTGATTTCAGCAAAGGAACAAAGCTTGTTTCATTCACTCAGCAAGCATTTATTTTGTTTCATTCACTCAGGGAGCACTTATTGAGGCTTTTTGTGTCCGGGGACCCTTCTAGGCCCTGGGGACCCGTTAGTAAACAAAACAAATAAAAAGCCCTGCCCCCATGAAGCTAACTTTCTAGTCGGGAGAGAGAGTGAACACTGAGGGGATTTTATAGCATGCAGCATGGTTAGTGCTTTGGAAGAAGGAGAAAGAAGGATTCCAAGCGGGGCTGTGGGAGTGGGGTGGGGAGGAGGATAGAAATTCTAAGTAGGGTGGCCAGGGATGGCCTCACAGAGAAGGTGGTAGTTGAGCCTTTGTATGAAGGAGGTGAAGGGCCAGCTAGTGGAGGACTGGGGAAGAGCATCCTAGGCAGAGGGAATACACCCTGTTGTGTTTGAGGAATGCCTGGTTTTAGGCCCCTGTAACGGCTTTGGTTTTTACTTTGAGCAGGAGGGGAGGGTTTGGAGTGGAGGAGGAGGCGAACTGTCTGACGGTTAAGGGAAATCTCTCTGTAGCCTCTCTTCTGAGGGTGGACTGCTTAGGGAGCAAGGAGGGACAGCCAGGAGGCAGCCCGTGACCACGGCAGTCACGCAGGTCGGAGCAGCCGTGGAGGTAGTGAGAAGTATGCAGGTTGGACGTCTTTACAAGTCTTTACAGGCTTTGCTCACTTGGCTCCTTCTCAGGGAGGTCTCCCTGACCTTGTGCTGTTTGAACCTGCATCCTACCAACCACAGCAGGAAATGGAGCACTGTAGCTATCGCAGAATTCCCGGGCCTCCTGCCAGTCACTGCCCTCTCCCTCCTCCACTGACCCCTCACAGCGGAGAGTCTGAACTTGACAGAAGTGGAATCATCACTGCCCTCTCTCCTGAAATGAGTGTCCTAGTTCTTCAGTGCCTTTTCCTTTCACTCAACATTGCATTTGTGAAGTTCCTTCCCGTTGTTGCATGCTTAACAGTTTGTTCATTTTCATTTTATGTAGTATTTTATTATATTTATAGATCATAATGTACTGATTCTACTGTTGGGTTGTTTCCAGTCTTTGACAATTACGCGTTGCCAGTTATACTTGCATATTATAGTCCACCTGAAGCAGATTTTTGTGTATTATCTGAGGAAGGGGTCACGGTTCTTCCCCACACTCGTTTTCATATCCAGTTGACTGGCAGCCTTTCTTGAAAAGACCATTCTTGCTCATGGTGCCCTTTGTCGTAAATCAGGCATCCATATTTCTGGGATCTGTGTGTGGACTCTTGTCTTCATTGTTCTTCTTGTGTGTGCTTGGACCACACTGTCATACTTACTGTAGCTTCGTCGTAAGTCTGAGTATCTGGTAGTTTGAGTCCATCCAGCACTGTTGTTCTTTAAACTTGACTTTGCTATTCTTGGCCCTTTGCATTTCTTGGTAGATTTTAGAGTCACCTTGTCAGTCCTCCTCTCCAAGTTTGCTGGAACTTTGTTTGGGATTGCATTGACTCTATAGACTAATCTGGGGAGAAAACCAAAAAAAAAAAACCAAACCTGTTGCCATCGGGTCAATTCCGACTCATAGTGACCCTATAGGACAGAGTAGAATTGCTCCGTAGGGTTTCCAGGGAGTGGCTGGTGGATTTGAACTGCTGACCTTTTGGTCAGCAGCCAAGCTCTTAACCAGTATGCTGCCAGGGCTTCATTTGGGGAGAACTGACATCTTTATAATGCTGAGTCTTCCAATCCACTAATATGATATATCCTCAGTGTATTTGGTCTTATTTAATTTTTTTCAACTATATTTTATAGTTTTCTCTGCAGCAATCTTGCATGTCTAAAATTTCACTTTCTAATTGTTTGTTGCTAAAACCAAAAAAAAAAAAAAAAAACCAATCCTGTTGCCGTCGAGTTGATTCCGACTCATAGCGACCTTATAGGACAGAGTTGAACTGCCCCCCTAGGGTTTCCAAGGAGTGGTGGATTTGAACTGCTGACCTTTTGGTTAGTAGCCGTAGCTCTTAACCACTATGCCACCGGAGTTTCCTGCTCCTTGCTAGTATATAGAAATAAAATAGATTGTTACATATTTACCTTGTATCCTGTGACCTTGCCACATTTACTTATTAGTTCTAGTGTTTTTTTTTTTTTGTTTTTTGATTCCTCAGGATTATGTACACAATTATGTTGTTTGTGAATAAAGACTGTTTTACACCTTCCATCCCAATCTTTACGCCTTCTGTCTCTTTTTCTTGCCTCACTGTGCTGGCTGGAGGCATACATGGCACTGCCATACTGCATGGAGGTGGTGAGAGGGATGGTCTTGTCGTTTTCCTCCTGAGAAGGAAAGGTTTCAGTAGTTTACTGCAAGTTGAGATGTGGGCGTCAGGGTTTTTTGTAGATCTCTTTTATCAGATGAAGAAAGTTGAGGGTAGGAATTCATATCTTTTATTCCCTGATGTACCTCAAGCATCTAAAATAGCATCTGGCATGCAGTGGAGAGTTAATGTTTGGGGGAATGAATGTGCGTATGCGTGCGTGTAGCAGCACTGGCAGGATTTATTGATGTATTGGATGTGGGGTGCTAGAAGAAAGGGTTGAGACGTTTGGCGTGAGCAGCTGGAAGGATGGAATTCTCAGTAGCTATCGAGTCAGGGAGAACGGGAGGAGCAGGCTTTAGGGGCGGGTCAGGAGTTTGGATTTGGAGTAGTTGGGGTTTGAGATGACAGTCGGACTTCCAAGAGCCGATGTACGAGGCAGTGGGTATGTCTCTCTGTCTGTCTCTCTAGATCTCTCTCTATATCTGGAGGTCAGCCGAGAGGGCTGGTCTGGAAATGTCCATGTGTGAGTCATTAGCCTAGAGACGGGTGTTTAATGTTGAATAGGGTCGATCTTGATTAGTAGTGTTTCTTCTTATGGGTACGCGTTTGCCTCAGTGTAGAGCGAACTTTTATCATCCAGAGACCGACTTTCTCCTTTGTGAGAAAACCAGGCCTCGCTTGTCTCTCCCTTGTTCAGCCTGTTTTTGATCTGCTTTCTTCCTGACTCACACAGAGAGTGCGGCCATCTTCTGTAGAACCAGTGGCTTCATAGCAGGAAAACATTGACTACGATAGTCACTGTACTGAAGGACGTTTTACTTTCGCAATTTTTATTCGAGGTCTTTCTGTATTTTTTAGAGCTTTAAAACTGCAGCAGTTATTTTTGTGCATATTTGAATGTTTTAAGCATATGTTTTGTCATATTTCCTCTCACAGTTATTTTTTACGTTCTTTCTCAAAATACATTTTTTATTTGACTTCATTTGACAGTTCATGAGTTCAAAACTATACTTTCCATTGAAGAAATGATTAAAAAATACATATTTTAATCAGATGTTGTACATGTGTGTTCTGATTTTACTATAGCATGAAGTATTTTCCTAGGAGTAAGAAACAAATATATTGGATTTGTTGTTAAAAATTACAAAATAATTGTGTTGTTCTTTTAGACGAAATTGCTAAATACTTGGAAACAGTGAAATTGTTGGACTATACCGAAAAGCCTCTCTATCAAAATTTACGGGATATTCTTTTGCAAGGCCTCAAAGCAATAGGAAGTAAGGACGACGGCAGACTGGACCTCAGTGTTGTGGAGAATGGAGGTTTGAAAGCAAAGACAGTAACAAAGGTGACTTTTGTTATTAAATTATCCTTTGGGCCTCTTGTGATGATCATTGCAACAAGTACTAATTTTAGGAACACAAAGCAGTAGCTCAGTAAAGAAAATAATAACAGAGTGCTTAGTAAATGTAGTGTTTATTCCCACCATGTAAAGGAGAACTCTTTATTATATAGAACAGTGTATTTAAAAAAACCCATTTCCATCGAGTATAGAAGGTTGTGTAAACATAAATACTTATACATTTCTTAGGTCCTGAGCCCTGGTGGCGCAGTGGTTAAGAGCTGGGCTGCAAACTGAAAAGTCAGCCGCTCACATCCACCAGCCGCTCCTTGGAAACTCTATGGAGCGCTTCTGCTCTGTCCTGTAGGGTCGCTATGGGTCGGAATTGACTTGATGGCGATGCTTTGGTTTTTGGTTTATAGCAAGCCATTCAGTTCCTGAAAAGATTCTAATGTGGGACCCTGATACCTCGCCAAGGGATTTTAAGGGACCACTCAGCACATAACTTGTGTTCTTGTCTCCCAAGTCACCCTGTGGATCGATCTTGTCTCTCAGTTTTTTCTTGTTTCTGGGTATGGTCAAGGAATGGAAGTTTACCACTTGAAAATTATTTTGCTCTTTAAAGAAATGTCAGTATGTAAAGCTGTGTATCTACCTATAAGGTGATTAATGTTTTGGAAAGAAATATTAAATAATTAGCTTTATGGTAGAAGTATCGCACAGGCATGTAATGAACTAGTATCACTTTATAGTTTAGATTATACAGGTATACATTTTCTTTATGTACAAAATTAACTTATTCATTTCTTACTGCTTATTTTTATGATTAACTTATGATTTCCTTTATGATCTGAAATGATTTAATAAAAAATATTAGCTGCTTTTAAATGGTAAAGGAAAACTACTTTTAGAAGAAAAATAATTTTTTACTGTTAACTCTGTAAATTCCAATAGATCATTCTACAGTTTCTTTGGAAATCCCATATTCCAAACTATGAGAAAGTCCAAAAAGGGTTAGAAACAAATTTTCTCTCTTTAAATTTATTTTTAAATTTATTTTAAATTAATTTTCTCTCTGTTAAAAGATTTCTGTGAGTGATCAGCCATGTCCTTTTAACTTAGAAGGCAGAAAGAAAGTTTGTATTTGGATCATGAATTTGACTTTCTTTGGCAAATAGTAGGTTTCTTTGTAATTTCGTCTCACCGTCTGAAATTACACATGCGTCTACGTATACATTTTTTTTCTTTCCCAAGTTTTGTCTTAATTGCATCTGATCTGTTTTTGTGGCCAACAAGTGTGTGACACCACACGCAGGTTAGGAGTGGGGAGGGGAAGGGAAAGCCCGCATGGGCTCACCCGGAGGCGGTGGACCTGAAGCTTCCCATGCATGTGTTGCTCAGGAGCGATTCTGTGCCTGAGTATTTATAGCTGGTTTCTGCAGTCTTTCCTGAAATCTCGCCAATGGGGAAGTGGAACTCTGTTGCAGTGAGAACTTGTCCAGAGCGGCTGCCCCTTCCTCTGCAGATCGCTGTTGCTGGGCCCTGCCTGCTGGAGAAAACACGGCTTCTGCAGGTTGGCTGACTTTCCCGCTGAGTAGATCAGTCGGCTGCAGAGCTAGCATCTGTGACCTCATATTCTCCTGTGTCCTTGGTGGCTCAGAAGGCGGGAAATTTCCTGTTGGATCATCCCCTACATGTGTGAACGTTCGTTTAGGGGAAAAAAATGAAAACGAAGCCAAACTACTAGGAGATTTGCTACATTAGTTGACATTTTTTTCGCTGGTAACTGACACAGGCTATTCTTGGCATTAAAAAGAGATTACTAGAAGTTTAGATTAGGTAAAATCATGAGGCTGGTTTACATTTTCTGTATGTTTTTTATTTTTTAACGATAGACCCTTTTCTTCAGGCAAATTGTAAATGCCCACGTTAGAAACGGATACAGCTGCAGTGGTTGAAAAGTTGGGGCTCCTACAAGGAAAAGCTCTGTCCTTCGGGAAGCTAGTCTGCCGCCCCTTTTTAGGCAGAGGTGTGTCGTTGGGATTGCCTCCCTGGTTATCTGGGCGCTCAGAGCTAACTGTGGGGTGTGGTCTTAGTAACCGTGTGGATCCTGTCATTAGCATATTTGCTGCCTTCTCTTTTCTTTTTCCCCCATTTTTAAAAACCTTTTTTTTTTTTTTTTAATATATGTTCTTTGCCCTTATTAGATTCAAGTCTCCTTTGGAAAGGGGTAGGTTTCATCAATTCAATATATGTTTCTTTTTAGGTTCCTAAGAGATCCTCATTTTGGTAAAAGCTGCAGGATTTAATCAGCAAGGCTTCTGTCCTTTTTTCTTTTCTTTTTGGAGCCATGTGAGATTGTAGTACTGTATATTTGGAAACTCGAGTGAAATAGGAATTTACCTACTTGGAAATGTTTTCAGCCTAATAACCTAAGAGTTCTGTTAAAGCACAGAATTTTGAGACGGTGGTAAGGGTGAAGTAAACAAGAGACCAAGTACCAGCCTGCTCTTACAAAGCAGCCAGCCAGGGGTTCTCATTGTTGATTAGAACGAAACACTTTCATTAGAACCTGGTAGTGTAGTTCCCACGGTTACCGTTAAATCCACATTCAGTGGCGTATCTAAGGTCTAGTGTAGGTACCTGGTCTAGGCTTGGTCCCTGGGGCTGCCAAGATCTGTAACACGTAGTCTCATCCTTAAAGAATTCCTCCCTGTCCTATATGAGTTAAGAACAGCTTGATTTGCCAGAAAGAGCTCAGCAGGTAAATGGATATTAATAACCTCTGTTGGTGGTTTTCTTGTAGGGTTTTGATGAAGTTGCCTGCCCAAGCCAACAAAAAGGGCTGTTCATTGGCGTCTCTTGGGTCTCGTCCCTGGAAATTCATTGTGCAGATGTAGAGCACGGCCCTGCGCTCTATTTTCAGACAGTGTGTATCGTTGCTCCCTGTGAAAGACACGCACATCTTCTTTCCACCTCCCTTGGCTTACCTCCTGATTTCTTTTTAAGTTATATTATGCTAGTTGGCGTTTCTAGAGTTCCTGTGAAAAATCATTAACCGCTGTTAATTAACTAACCCTGCTGCCACTCAGCCCGGCACAGGGTACAGAGAGCTGAGCAAGACAAAGGCGCTCCATTGCAAGTCAGTGGCCTGCAGCTGCCCCGGTGGACAGCTTCCTGTCTCTGAGGTGCTCTCACTTCATGGGGAATTTAATTTATACCATGTAGCCTGTAGCTTAAGTCAGGCTGTGCCAAAGATACCGGCCAAATTTGATGAAAATCTGTCTAGTTTCAGCATGATACAGTAATAGGGAAATACTCTATTTTAATTATATGAGTTTACGTTGTTAGGGTGATACTTTTCTTCCTGTTTGCTAATGGTAGTTTGCCCATTGTTCTGCATTTTGGTGGGTTCAGTGTTTACTAGCGGGTCTTCTTGGCGGTTTCATTATTGAGTTGTTTATTTTGAGTCTCCTCTTATTTGGCTGGATTTTGTCAAATAGCTTTTTGCCCCCTAACTTGTTAAGAGGAGCCTGGGTGGTACTGTGGTTAAGCGTTGGGCTGCTAACGAAAAGATCAGCAGTTCGAATCCATCAGCCACTCTTTGGAAACCCTATGGGGCAGTTCTGCTCTGTCCTGTAGGGTCACTAGGAGTCGGAATCGACTCGACGGCAGTGGTCTAATTTGTTAAGTGAGAGTGTGGCTTATGTGCAGAAAAGTGCACAAATAAGTGTGGAGTTCTGCACTTATACAAAGTGACATCTGCATTGAAACACCGCTCAGATCAAGATACACGTCCTCACCAGAACCCCAGAGACTTCCCTTTGGTCCTTTCTTAAGCTTTATCCTTCATTTAGAATGACCAGTATTTTGACTTCTAAGATCATAACTTGGTTTTTCCTTTGAGATTTACAGTAATGGAACCATCCAGTCCCCTTTGTGTCTGTTGTCATTTAGTTGTATGTGTGATTTTTCCATGCTGTTGCACGCAACAAGAGTTTGTTTTTCATTGCTGTGTAAGTACTCCGTTATATGACTGCACCACAACTTATCCTTTCTACTGTTGATGTCAGGTGGATCCTGGCTGAAAGCAGAGAAGACCAGAAAGATGTTTACTTGTGTTTTATTGACTATGCAAAGGCATTTGACTATGTGGATCATAACAAATTATGGATAACATCATGAAGAATGAGAATTCCAGAACACTTAACTGTGCTCATGAAGAACCTGTACACAGATCAAGAGGCGGTTGTTCAGACAGAACAAGGGAGTACTGTGTGGTTTAAAGTCAGGAAAGGTGTGTGTCAGGGTTGCATCCTTTCACCATACCTATTCAATCTATATGCTGAGCAAATAATCCAAGAAGCTGGACTATATGAAGAAGAACAGGGCATCAGGATTGGAGGAAGACTCATTAATAACCTGCATTATGCTGATGACACAACCTTGCTTGCTGAAGGTGAAGAGGACTTGAAGCACTTACTGGTGAAGATCAAAGACCACAGCCTTCAGTATGGATTACACCTCAACATAAAGAAAACAAAAATCGTCACAACTGGACCAATAGCAACATCTGATAAACGGAGAAAAGATTGAAGTGGTCAAGGATTTCATTTTACTTGGATCCACAATCAACACCCATGGAAGCAGCAGTCAGGAAATCAAAAGATGCATTACATTGGGCAGATCTGCTGCAAAGGACCTCCCTCTTTCAAGTGCTGAAAAGCAAAGATGTCACCTTGAAGACTGAGGTGTGCCTGACCCAAGCCATGGTATTTTCAATCGCGTCATATGCATGCAAAAGCTGGACAATGAATAAGGAAGACCTAAGAAGAATTGACACCTTTGAATTGTGGTGTTGGCAAAGAATATTGAATATACCATGGACTGCCAAAAGAATGAACAAATCTGTCTTGGAAGAAGTACAACCAGACTGCTCCTTAGAAGCAAGGACGGCGAGACTACGTCTCACATACTTTGGACATGTTGTCAGGAGGGCTCAGTCC